AAATAAAATGCAAGGCAGCAGAAAGAAGAAAAATATCCTACAACATCTGCCCATTTTTTTAAAAAGAAAAAGAAAAACAAATTAACTGTTAAGTAATAAAAAATAACAATAATCCTCATCGAACAAATTATATGAGTACATATTATTCTTTTTCATATTTCTTCAATAAATCAATTTAATCATTCTCTTAAACAGAAACATTGATCTGGCATTTTTAACAGCACTTTCCAGTTTATTCCATAATCGTATTCCCTGAATTGACGCACATCGTTCCTTCAAACTGGTTCGAAATTTAGGCTTCACAAACATCTCAATCCCCTTAAGATTAGAACTGCTCACTCTTTTAACAAAACGTGACTGGATATTTACAGGTAATATGTTTTTATGAGCCTGCAAAATATTATAATCTACCAACTTATAAAATTTCAATAACCTCAACTGACAAAACAATATATTTACATTTACTGTACAAAACATTATCTGAATGAGATCTTGCAATGTGTCATGAGATTGTGCAAATTGAGATGTAATTTTCCAACATCAGCTGATTAACAAATCTGTTAATTGGGCATGAACTATATGAATCCCTTCAAGAAATGCTATATCCTTTTTTTACAGGGTTAAAGTAGATAKTCTAAAGTCTAGTGATGCTGTTTTACTGTATTTGGTAGAAAAAAATGACACCAGCATCCACATTCAACTGTAGACAATTAAAAAAATACTATCAACTATACATATAAACAGACAAATACTTTGGTTTCTTGTGAAGCTAACATGACTTGACCCTTTGGCAACATGACACCAGAAGAGGGCAGACATGCTGCATCAGAGAGAGAAAACTCTTTGATCTCTGTTCATGAAAAGAGTGATGAAGGAGAGAAAAAAGAAGGAAAAGGAACCCTTTTAACACTATTGAGGAAACTCATCAATTTGTAAGAGCAATCTGAGCGAGCGGTTGTTAGCAGGCAGCTTCTATCCGGCCACGTCCGTGAGGAAAACTGTAAATTTTTCATGCTCGAATTGCCCTCCATTAAAGTAATGGGCTTCTAAAAGAGAGACATGTTAAACCGTTGGCTTTCGTAAGCACAACATGCGTTTCACAAGTTATAGGAGTGTCAGTAATTTATCTGTGTTGGTGAAAGTGTCTGAGGCGGCTTTGGCTCGGGGTTCTCCACACTCGGCATTATCTGGACAACAAAGAGCGAGATTTATGGGCGGGAAGGAAATCAACCGATAGGCTATGATATTTTTTTTTCTCGTCAACAAAAACGTGTTAGAGGGGAATTCAATCAAAGTTTGACAGTTCTTTTGTCATTTTGTTCGACTTGCCCCCTAACCCTGCGGTGTTTCATAAACCTGTACACAATGAAACTCCGCTGAGGAGGAAATGGGGTCAACAGTGTTTGGTGTTAAAGCAACAATCTTCAGTTTTCCAACCTAACACTTTATCTCTGTCAGACAAGGGGTACATTTTTCTATTTTCTTTGGGGTAAGGACCTGACAAACAGCCGTGATCTATTGCAATTCTTGGATTTGTACCTTTCCTCTGCAGTGCTCCTGCACAAGTCAATCAAGAAGGTTCAGCATTCTTTAAAAAAAGAAATAGGATCTATGTTATGTCACAGAAAGAGGATATAGGTTTGTTTGACGTTTTTATCCATTTTCACTCAATTGGGAGGTGTATGGCCACGTATTATCTACACGCATCTGTTTTTATTACAGTTCCTAAGTCTGAGCTTACATCACTGCTTCCCTTTAACACAAATTGTTTTGGACCGACAAGGCAGCCATCGCAGTCCAAATTAGCTTCTCTCCTTGCCTGGCAGTGTCTCCTTACACATGCATCATTATCTCACGTAAACACTGGAAACGTGAGACCGTCGGGGAAACGAACGCCACTCAAGGCAACAAAGACGGGCCTGATTGAAAAGATCCTGGGYGGGTGACACTCTCGTTTAGCGTCGATTAAAGTAAACAACAAGCAGAGCCGCTTTTGAGGCCAGCTGGATCCAGAGTTTGTATTTGTACTCGAGCGGATCTGCCTGCTTGAAGGGATTGCCGGCATTYACGAACGGTTTCAGTCGGAAAACACAGATGCAACAATGAGTTACAAAAAAATACCCCTCACATTGAGATGTACTTGAGGAAACCTCACAGCTCCCTCACCCCTTCCCATTTTATCTCTTTATTTCCCTCTATCTCTTCTTTTCACACATAGAAGCTCCACTGTGCGGCTTTGCAATGGGTTCGATTGGTATGCAGTGCAGGGGCCCCTGCGAGTTTCGTCCCTTGGCTCTCAAACTGAACACTGAAGATGGTGTTATCTGAATGCTGCCAGGAGGTTGTCAGCTTGCATTGGGCCGGGCTGACCAAGTGGCCGGTTTGTGGATGCGTGTCCGTGCCAGGCCCTCATCGCCTTCCCTCTGTGGACATCTGCTGTGTGTGGAAAAGCTGTGGGGTTCGTCTGTGGTTGCATCTTAATCCGCCATCTCCT